ATTAAAATTATAGGAATTAAATTAGGCCTTAAAAGTTATTCCATCTGATACCTGCCTAATGCTCAACTTTTTTCTCTCTTTAGAGGTAGATGCATAGCTTATGCTTGAACACGTCTAATGGTGGGAACACAGTATCTCCTGAGACGTCATATTTCATCTTTGTTCAATTCTGTTATTAGTAATATAGTTTTCTCTGCTTCCCTAGCTACCCATTCTTCTCTTAATGGTATAGATGCTTCTTCTGTTTATACCAAAAAGAATTTTAAAAAACCCTGCTCCTGCTGTTTTTTGTTTTGTTTTGTTTCGTTTTTAAGAGATGGGGTCTTGCTCTGTCAACCAGGCTGGAGTGCAGTGATCTGATCATTGCTCACTGCAGCCTCAAACTCCTGGGCTCAAGCAATCCTCCTGCCTCAGCCTCCTGAGTAGCTGTGACTACAAGCATGCACCATCATGCCTGGCTAATTTAAAAAAATTTTTTGTAGAGATGGAGGTTCTCTCTATGTTGCCCAGGCTGGTCTCGAACTCCTGTCATCAAGTGATCCTCCCGCCTTGGCCTCCCACAGTGCTGGGATAACAGGCATAAGCCACCATACCTGGCCAAAAATAACCCTTTAGAAAAGTGTACTAATACAGTAAAAAGAAAGGAACTAAAAGAAATGAACATTTATTTATTAAACACTCATAATGTGCCAGGTAATGTGCAACATGCTTTTCTTGAATAACATTTTTTATTTTAAAGGGAAACAAAAAAAAAAACAGAAAGTATGACAATGAAGACATTTCACAAACTCCTTAAAGAGAAATTCCTGAGCTTCCTGCCTGGAAAGATGCTTGGAAGATCCCCATTTCCTTGGCAAAAATCCCTATGGGTAACTTGCAGCCTCTCCCATATTAGGGCAATAATATTAGGATATTCTGAGCCCAAATGTTTCCTTAGCTTTGTATCATCTCCCTTCCCTTCCTTAATATTCTGAACACAAATATTCCCTAACTTTTGCCAAATAGTTACGAAACATTAGTCATTATATGAATCCTCTGTATTAGGATATCCCAGTTTTCTTAAAAATAGAGATTCTAATCTATATGTATTCTACAGCAGCTTTTAAAACGGGTCATTAATTGCAAACAGAGACCACACCAATAGGCCCACATAGACAGTCAGTTGATTAAGAAACTGATACAATTTGAGTAGCCATTATCTGAAAC